GAAGTTATTCAAGTTAGGTAGACAACAGCTTGGTTAGTCCCTTGTGGATTTTGTTAGCAGACCAAAGCTTTTACCAGCTGGTAAAAAGCAAGTGGTGTTGCAACCTTCAATGAGCTAATTCAGCACATCTTAGTAGATAACCTGCTGAGACTGTGGTACCAGAGATTAGAGTCTTTCTGCACGGCTGTGTCTCAACCACTGCTTTGGAGGCAGCCAGGTTGACTGATACTTTTGAGACCAACCGCTCTTTGTCCGAGCGGTCCCATCTCTCTTTTAAACAGCATGGCATGAGGAGAGATCATCAACATTGGAGGATGAAGTGCCAGCAGGAAGGAGAACGTCTACGTCAGCCAACTATGTCACCTGGTGAGCCACGCTACTCAACTTATGGTCAACCTGGTAAGCGACAAACCACTCAACATGGTGTATCTTGACAACAGTACCCAGAGCGACACCTTACAATGTCAGCAGGGAGCTAAGGTCAAGGCTGTCATTTGTTTTCTGTGCAATAAAGTAGGTCACATCCACCCAAACTGCCCAAATAAGCCCCAACCATTAGGGAAAATTTATAATGTCCCTAGTAACATGACCCTGAAAGAAGTAGAGAGAGGGATGGCCCATTATTATTATAAGAGTCGTATATCCCTTCAGGAAGACTCAAAGAAAACTGAAATCAGAACCTTTAGGGATACTGGAGCATGTTGCTCGCTTATAAGAGAGGGAGCACTTCCCCTTTCTGAATACACTTCATTACAATCCTCGGTTTTCCTCGAAGCCTTTGGAGGATTGATTTTTTCTGTCCCCTTGCATAAAATATATATATAGAGTGCAGATATTACACTGGATATTTGACTGTAGGTGTATCTGGGGGATTTCCTATGAAAGATGCCATGTTATTACTGGGTAATAACATTACCACTTCTAGTGCATGTCCTGAACCCATAATGATTAATTCTTCTCCGATGTTGGCCATAACTCGGGCAAAATCCCAAGGGATATCTGGCGAGAATACTAACCTATCCTTGGACGACTCTGATCCCAGAATAGCCAATTTGTTTTACGAGGAAAACTGGCCAGAGCCTCATAAATTTAGTGAACAGACCCAGATCAAGCCTTCCTATTCCAGGGTTGCAGGATTACCAGATGTCTGTTTCCATGCTCGAGGGACTGTCCTTCCGAGAGGAACAACGAAAGAACCCTTCACTGAATTTAGCTTTTCAGGCAGCCATGGGTAAATTCTTTTCAGATCATCTGGCCATTTCTTTTTTTCAACAAGTCGGCCGTCTCCCACCGAGGCAGGGTGACCCAAAAAAGAAAGAAAGTACACTTTCAATATTCCACACTTTCACCTCACTCACACATAATCACTGTTTTTGCAGAGGTGCTCAGAATACAACAGTTTAGAAGCATATACGTATAAAGATACACAACATATCCCTCCAAACTGCCAATATCCCAAACCCCTCCTTTAAAGTGCAGGCATTGTACTTCCCATTTCCAAGACTCAAGTCCAGCTATATAAAAATAACCAGTTTCCCTGAATCCCTTCACTAAATATTACCCTGCTCACACTCCAACAGCTCGTCAGGTCCCAAATACCATTCATCTCCATTCACTCCTAACACACTCATGCACGCTTGCTGGAAGTCCAAGCCCCTTGCCCACAAAACCTCCTTTACCCCCTCCCTCCAACCTTTTTGAGGACAACCCCTACCCCGCCTTCCTTTTCCTACAGATTTATATGCTCTCCATGTCACTCTACTTTGATCCATTCTCTCTAAATGACCAAACCACCTCAACAACCCCTCTTCAGTCCTCTGACTAATACTTTTATTAACTCCACACCTTCTCCTAATTTCCACACTTAAAAACAACTATTTGCTCTGCACTGAGACTGGTAAGGAGATAGAGGGTAGGTAACAGTCAGACAGGTTAGTGGTTCCAACAATGTTTAGACCTCAGATATTAAATATAGCTCATAACACTTCATTAGGAGGTCACCTAGGAATTACTAAAACTTTATATAGAATCTCAAAAGAATTCTATTGGCCAAAATTAAGGCAGGATGTGAATAATCATATCCGCTGTTGCCGAGAATGTCAGCAAGTAGGGAAACCTGGACTTTCCATTAAACCTGCACCTCTCCAGCCTATACCTGCTGATGAAGGACCTTTTGCAGAATTAATTATAGAGTGTGTAGGTCCACTACCTAAGTCCAAGTCTGGAAATCAGTACATATTTATCATTATGGATAGAGTAACTAGATACCCAGAAGCAATTCCCATGTGCAGTATTAATACTAAAGCCATTCTCAAAGCTTTAACCAAATTTATCTTTTGGCATTCCCAAATCTATTCAAAGTGATCAAGATACTAACTTCACTGTCAAAGCATTTATGGAAGCATTAGCTAGGTTAGGGATAATCCACAACTTGTCCACTGCCTATCATCCTCAGTCCCAAGGCGCCTTGGAAAGATTCCATCAGACATTAAAAATCATGATGAGAACGTTTTGTATGCATTTTCCTACAGACTGGGATGGATCACTACCTTTGTTGCTGTTTTTAATAAGGGAAACTGTGCAAGAGTCTACCGGGTATAGTCCGTTTGAGCTGATCTTTGGGCACAGTGTACGACGTCCTCTTCAGGTGCTCAAGGAAGGATGGATGGGAGAAGACGTTAATTCAACACTCTACAACCCTTCTTCAAGGTGCCATGGTGGCACAGTTACCAATGGGAGGTGGCAGCTTATTCCTGAGGCCTCTCGGGGTGGGGGTGTGGCATGCAAAGAGTATGTAACCTTTATTTGGTGCATGTACACACCCTCACTGAAAGGCTATCTCCCCAACCAGCAAACCGGTAGTAAGGGTAGAGTGATAGGGCCCCATCGTTTGATCAGCACTTAGGTTCAGCCAATGAGCTGGGTCTGGCAATCATGGAGGTGGTGTGGCCACCACCCACCTGTCCACCCTTGTCATTTCCATTCTAGAGCTGGTTGAGCATGGTTGTCCAGGCTGTCTTTGCCTTTAACTAACCATAGTGTACACATACATTTCCAACTGTATATAGTGTATATAATGATTATATGCGAGTGAAGTGAAAGTGTTGAATGATGATGAAAGTATTTTCTTTTTGGATCACCCTGCCTGGGTGGGAGATTGCCGACTTGTTCAAAAAAAAAAAAAGTGTAAATTCTTGAAGGAAAATATATTTCAAAGTCATTCAGCTGTGTTTGTTCTGCTCTTTGCTCCCCTTTACACCCAGGATAACAGGTCTTACTGTGCCTGGGTTGTAATAGGGAGGAAATCAGGCTTAATCCAAAGAGATAGTAGCTACAATTCCTTGAATTAATAACCATCTTCCAGCATCAAGGCAGCTTGAAGGAGGTCTGCACCATAACTACCATCCTTCCTGCTGCCTATGCTGGCCTCCTTTATGGCCTCAATGTGTTGCTATCAGGTTGTTCCTATCCTACTTCTTTATTTTCACTTAAGGTGCTTCAGCAAAATGGTTATTAGCCAAGGGCAGTGCTGAGTGAGGCTGAAGCTCCACCAGAATTCCAGGCCCGGTGGCCTGGTGGCTAAAGCTCCCGCTTCACACACGGAGGGCCCGGGTTCGATTCCCGGCGGGTGGAAACATTCGACACGTTTCCTTACACCTGTTGTCCTGTTCACCTAGCAGCAAATAGGTACCTGGGTGTTAGTCGACTGGTGTGGGTCGCATCCTGGGGGACAAGATTAAGGACCCCAATGGAAATAAGTTAGACAGTCCTCGATGACGCACCGACTTTCTTGGGTTATCCTGGGTGGCTAACCCTCTGGGGTTAAAAATCCGAACGAAATCTTATCTTATCTTAACTCTCAAATAAAAATAATGCTGCTGCTTTAAGACTAGTCCCCTAGCCCCATCTTCCAACCAGATTGGGACATCTAAGCCCCTCCTATATACAACTCTGGAGCTGCCCCTGTTATTAACATTGCCCACATCAGTGCTGTGTAGTGGCTTCAGTGAGGCCCTCAGGTACCCAAGTCTTTACTTCTCTGATGCTTCATCCCAGTCATTGTCTTCGTTCAGAGTGAGGCCTTTTCCCTATTCCTTGAACTCTTATAGCTGTGCTCTGTTTTGTTCTCTACTTAACACCCTTCTTTCATCCCTTCCTGGAATGTCCCTTATGCCCTGGGATGTCTCTTTCACCATTCCTGGTGTTGCATGCAAAGAGTGTGTATTCTTTATTCAGAGCATGTTAACACACTCACATAGGTTGCCTCACCAACCAGCGAACCAGATGCTAAGGGTCTGACAATCGGGGCCCCAGCGTCAGATCAGTATCTAGGTTCAGCCAATCATAATGTGGATCTGGCAGTTGTGAAGATGACATGGCTACCACTAACATTTTCACCCTTGTCATTTTTATTCTACCATTGGTTGAGGCATAGTGGTCTGCTTTCTCTTGGTTGCTGTTTTGCCTTGATTATTGTGGCATGCACTAATGCCTATTGCTGTACATAGTGTATATAGTGTACATACTTATGGTTATACTTGAAGGATAAAATAATTCAAAGTTTTTCTGCTGTGTTTATTTTGCTCTCTTTACACCCAGGATAACAGGCCTTTGAGTACCTGGGTTGTAATACCTGGGAAGTTCCTCACACACTTCCTGGGACATTCCTTAACCTCTTTATCCCAGGTTTATGCACACACAGGCAATGTATTCTTCCTAAATGACTAACCCATGAAGGAAGGTTCCATGATGCCAGTGAGAGGCTTTTGATGAAAGGAAGCTAACCTGTCCTCCTCCCTTTCCTTGGATTAAGTCTCATTGTTCACATTCCCTTATTCATTCTGACCCCTACAGGTTTATTGCTCCCCTACAAACTGAATGTAATTATGGCCCAGAACAACCAAAACATTTTCTAAAGTTTTCTCTCCTAAGTGTAGGTTACGTATTTCCAAATGTCATTTGCATAATATTCTAGTTTGAGCAATAAGATCTACCCTTACCTGCACCCAGCTGCATCTGCAGGAGCGGGTTGGTCCTGGGACCTCCACTCAGACCTGCTGGTACAGAGACCTCATCAATGGTACGACTGAAGGCAGGGTTGTCTAAACCACTGTCTAAATCCTGCCGGATCATGTAATTCTTGAATTCAGGATTGTCCTCAACACCCACCAGTACAGAATCACCACTACCAATGCTGTAAGGCAATTGTTATAATTCTCGTGAGAAAGTGCTGAACCCATGTTTTGTTATAATAATAGTGCAGAATATCAACAAGTTGATGACTAAGACTTGGAGGGGGGGGGGGGCATTTAAGTTTGATTCATGGAAGGGGAGGGTAGTTCTTAATTCCTCAGAACAAGAAACCTATATCATCAAGGCCCTTCTCCCCTCCATGTCACCACATTAACTTATACTTGATGTATTGGACAGTCATTCCCAAAATATATGCACATACAGTATAAGTATACGTACTTAACCCTTTGACTGCCGCAAAATTTTTTTGGAAAAAAAAAAAAAAGATTTTTTCTAGCAAAATGATAAGAGAATCTTTTCCCGATGGTAATGACACCAAAAGTACGAAATTTGGTTGAAAACACATGGAATTACACTCCCGCGAAGTTAGCGGTCTTGGCGACATATACGCATCGGCGATTTCACCAAATTTGAGCCCTGTTTTTGGCCAATTCCGTTGTTCCAGTTGATCAAACTCATAGCTATTTCTTTAGAACTCCATTTTTTTGATCAGTTGAGTACAAGAAACTGCCCATTTACCGATTTGAATTACTCAATAAAGTGGTCAGAAATTGGCAATTTGGGCAATTTCATGCAAATTAAAAAAGATGCCAATTTCAAAATAGGGTCCAGAATAAACAATGTAGACATTCTTGGCACTAAAATAACATATCCTCTGTTCATTAGCCACATCTCTAGGCCTCTCTTATATTACTATTGCCTTCTACGTATTTTGATTTTTTATTCATACAAAAAATACAAAATTTACTGTTATGCAGACTACTGCATTATTGTAAAAATGGTATAAATAATATCAGTGCACTTGTGAAAGAATATCAGACTCCCAGTTAATGTATTTTGGACGTGTGGTATGATTTGCTTACTCCTGAACGTTGGTAAAAATCGAACATTTCCGCTACTTTGAGCTCAATTTCAAGGTCATTTTCATCGTGAAACTAATCAAAATCATCTCTATTTCTGTAATATGTTTTCTATTTTATCACACAAGACCATGAAAACGAGAATACAACGATAAATACTATACGAAAATACACCTCAAAGTCGGCGTTTTAATCCAAAAAAACGTTCAATTTTTTTTCTCATTATGCACTGCGTGCTGCAGGATTTTTTTTTTGTGGTGCACACAGACCCATTTTCTCACTTTTGGGCCTACCAGCTTTCTCCTGCTTGATTTGAAGCCGCTAGAATTCATGCATATTAATACGTCCGAAACACTGGCTCCTAAGACGTATATATACGACCAAAACAGTCAAAGGGTTAATAAGTAGCTGTTCTTCTCTCGGCAAAATACTTTAGTTATTTTTCATCTTTATATTATTTTTCTACACTCGACTGTGCCAAAGTTCTCAAAAACCTCTCGAGTTGTCTGCCTCTCAAGTGTACATACAGTGAGAGGTTCTCCCAATCCCTCTTTAAGGGATTAAAGTATTCTTGACTGGTTATGTGTAGCCTTAAGGACACTCATGAAATCGATGGGTTCTAAACCCCATTAACCACCTAAAACTGCTGTAGTATGCCTTAAATAACCATTACATTGATATATACTGTTACATCTAGTGCATAAACAACAAAGAATTAATGGCATAGACAATACAGACAACATCTTCCCATCCCACAGAATATTTCTCACTGCATTACCTGCTTGAATCATCATTTCTTATGTTGGTTTCAGGCATATTGTACATGGGATTTGCTCCTTCACCTGCAAATTTATTACTTCCAGGAACTGCTGCCATCCCCATGCCAATCCTGTTTATATCTGAAGACTGAGAACCAAAAGTGTTCGTTGACAAAACTTTCACTCGACGCTCCAAACTGAAAGGAAATAATTTATTTCAAAAATTTATGACACTAGCCATTTTTTAGATTAACACATTATACTTTTACACTGCACATACTTAGTTACAGTAACTGAGGCACAAGAGTTCATTTCAATGCCGTTTATTATCACCAGTATGTTGTTTCCAGTATTTTGCTGGGTGACAGCATTCAAGACTTAGAGAACCTAAAGCAGTGGCAGAGCCAAGGGAAGGCCGAAGCCTCCCAAATTTTCATCAGCTCCCGAAAATTTCATCTGCCCTGAGACAAATGCAAAAATATTTAAACAAAATTTACATTGCCACATATGAGAAGTATGAAGAATGCTGCTGGGGGTATAAATTTTAAATTAACATTTGTATAATGCTGTATGGCAGTGGATCTTGAAATACGTACATACAAGGCCTAACTTAACAGTCCTTGCAGGAAGGGATTTAACGAGGAGCAGTAGACTGTACCTCCTGGTCCTGAGGCAGTAGACAGTGATCAGAAGGAAGACCAGCGAGCCTAACACCAGGGACACCACTCCAAGCAGCACCTGCATCAGTCAGCTAATATTAATATAAGCAATGGAATACAGTATTTTACATGCATTTTGACCCTACTGAAAGGGAAAATACAATTGCTTTGGCTTAAGAGCCAGTGAAAATCTCCTGACACAAGTCTCTGTGCCCTGTGGCAAAGGCAAGAGAAAACATTGGTGTAATTACAGTACCTATTTGCTATTTCCTATCTGAATTTGCAGGAGTGAGATCAAGTTCCTAGTTCTACCTCTAACTTTCAACTGATTAACTTTACTGAGCCTTGTCAATCCTATCTTTGAACCCCAGTATGGAGTTCCCTTCCAATGTGTCTTTGTCTAATTTGTAATATTTACTTGCTGATATTCCTCTCGATATTAGATATGTACTTATATGATAAAGCTGTACATAGAGCAAAATGGCCTGAGGAAGCTCTAACAAAGAAACTTTGTCCCTTTAAAGCTCTAACAGGAAAGGGGAGTGACAATGTCCCATTAAAAGCACTGACAGAGGGAAAAACATTGTTTATTAAAAGCATCTTCAGTAGCTTTCTTTTCTTCACCAGTGCACCATTAGGATTCAACTCCTGTGGCCACTAATTTACTACTATAGAAATCGAATTCATTACTTGTTAATATATTCTTAGCAAACTGAAGAAAATTGTCGACTTCTTCTTTGCTGCTTGAGGAGCTTAAACAAACTAGGCCATTAGCATCACAGGCCCAGTGTACAGAAATGCCAACAACTGAAGATAGGGAAATTAATGCTCTTGTACCAGCGCAGACTGAGGATCTGGCATGCTGAGAGCTTCAAAAGTCGGTTGGCCTGTATCTTGGTGTATAAATACAATAAGTTTATTATCTATATTATTTTTATCTATATGGAGCACATTTCCAATGGCCCTTGTGCAGATGAATGACCTAAAACTTAATCTGTATTAAAAATACTGTATTATAAATAAATGGTTTTAAATACACTAACAGATCAAGTTGGTTAATAGGGTTTAACACCTATCAATTACACTGGGGCAGTGAGGTCTCGCCAACCCATAAGGACACTTTAATATCTACAGGGATTAAAGTAATCTCTCAGCAGATATAAGCTGAGAAAAATATATGTACCTCTCTGTGTATATATCCAGAAACCAAACAAATGCAAGGACAAATAGTTAATACTTTACATAAAAAATGGCAAGATTAGTGACTATGAACCTTTTCCTTTAAAAAAATTGTCAATTCAAAATTTTCCATGTTGAATCAGAATATTTTCATGAAGATCTTACTTGTAAGATAAGTAGTTTTTGATCTTGATCACTGCCATCTGCTATGACAGTTCCAATAGATTTTAAATCGAGTTTAATGTTATTCAAGTTTTTCAGGAGTTGGGTAACGACCTGGCCATCATTAGTAGCACTGAAGGAAAAAATACAATTAATTTTTAAGCATTCTTAGTAGAACTCAAGGAAAAAAAAACAGACCCTAGTGAGTTTAGCACTTGGTTTTGATTATAATAATCAAGAAAAAAAAATTTTAAGCACTGTTAGTAGCAATGAAAGAAGAACTAGTTAAATAGTTGTATTATGCACCTTGCACCCATCCCTTGGGTGGCAGCAAAGAAATTACGTAAGCACATAAATGAGTCCAGGAACTGCGCCATAAAGCTTCGAGCCAAGTTATAAAGTTAAGCAAGTTATAAAGTTAAGCAAGTTACACTGGCAATGAACTATATTTACATTTTTATAACTGGTTATATTTATAATAAGTTATTTATTCAGACACAGGGAAGAACACAGCAAATATTTTGATATATAAAATGTCATGATGTTCTTCACTGTTTGAGTGTTAGATAAACTAAGACAAGCATTACAAATTCCCTTTTGTCTGTTGCTACTTTTATTCAACTTACTCAAGAATATCTTTGACAGTGACTGGAGTGTCAGTAGAAGTGTCGATGAAGTGCATAAGAACAGTGGTTTCCCCTTGATCATCTGTGCTCTGTGCTATGCTATCAATGATGCACTGATATCCATATGCCATTGTGAAAATCCCTTCGACCTGGAGAAGCATAATGTATAAAGCATGAAGCATATCACTCAGAAAACAGCAAAATATGGAATATCTTTTGTGTTCACAATAGCAAGCAAAATGCATAAGAATATTTTGCAAATACAAGACACAGAGGGAGAAATACTGTAATAATGAGCTATTGACAAGAATGCTTTAGCACTCAGTCCTGATTATAAAAAAAAACTGACAAGGATAATGAGTTTAATTATAGTAGACTGGAGTTTGTTGCACAAGTTCAGTTTGTGGTTTTAATGCTTAGTTATTAAAATAATAATGCACAAGTTCAATCACAAAACATTCTATATGTTACAGATAATGTTGTACACATTATCTGTACTAAATATATTTTAGTTTTGCATAAACGATTTACATTAAAAATATTCTGTATAAAGGTTAGTAATGCAGGGGAGAGAGGCTTCCCTATTGTCATTCCAAACTTTTGATAAGATAAATTACTATCGGTGTAAAACTTGAATCTACAATATATTAACTAATCTGTTATCATGTGTTAATAAAAGCTTACATTAATAATAATATTTAAAAAAAAAATAGGCTGACTAAATTATATGCAGTATCATAATTTTTGCATTGTCTGAAATGCTGTATATCTTATGGCCTGTCTGATTAGTGTATATTTTGTAAATACGATGACTGAAAATCTAAACAAAAACCTCATCAGAGCCTCCATCTCAGTAATTATGATCCTTAACAATTACTTGCAGTGCTGTATGACCCCGGTAGTTTCGATTGTAATAATAATTAACAATTACTTCAATCTCCCTATCTTTTCGACAGCTCCTTTAAATATACATGTACTTACTTGTACCCGATTGCTTATTACATCCTCATAGTTATTTTTAAAGTAGACAGGCAATTCGTAGGTCTTTGTAATGGCATACACTTTAGCAGTAGTATTACCTTTATGATTATCTGCAAAATACGAAATGCATTAGACACCAAACTTATTAATTACATGAATATCATTACAAATTAATGGCCTAACATTCCTGGAGTTACCTGGAGAGAGTTTCGGGGGTCAACGCCCCCGCGGCCCGGTCTGTGACCAGGCCTCCTGGTGGATCAGCGCCTGATCAACCTTTTATTATCCACACCTTGACACGTCTGTTAGATACTAAAACGATAAGTCTGAACAACGTATGAACTAAAGTGTGGCCATCATTGGTGAAAAACAATGGTTCACTCAACCAAGACTAATGATAGTATGAAATGTCGAGGTCATTGGTGGTACCCATGCAAAATGTGCAGAAGGCCAAGGGGTAAAGAATTGTTTTCTTGTAGGGAATAAAAGGAAACTCCATTTTTATGAAAACTGTCCCCCTTCTATTCCCACCTAGAACTTGCCTCCATCCTATCCTCACTTAGAACTTGTCCCCCATCCTATTCTCTCCTAGAACTTGTCCCCCTCCTATCCTATTTTAGAACTTGTCCCCCCATTCTATCTTCTTTTAGAACTTGTCTCCCTCCTATCCTCTTCTAGAACTTGTCCCCATCCTATTCTCGCCTAGAACTTGTTTCTCTCCTATCCTCACCTAGAACTTGTTTGCCTCTTATCCTCACCTAGAACTTATCCCCATCTATCCTCACCTAGAACTTGTCCCCCATTCTATCCTAACCTAGAACAAAATTCTACATACATTTACCAAGGGACAGGTTGGTACTCTTATAAATAAGTCAAACCACTGCATAAGTTGTTTTAATTACCCTATCTGATGCTTCTAGCACTGTGCATGTTGCAATAGAACACTATGTTAGGGGAGAATAACAGAAAAAAAATCATTCATAAAGTCCCTGAAGTAATGAATGAGATGTAGAGGTAGTAAGTTTATTTAGGTACAGGTACACATAAATAGTTACACAAATTATCATACATAGTAATATATGTGTAAATTACCTAGAATAACCCTAGAAAGTCAGACAAAGTGATTTATTTTCATTGGGGTCCTTGTAATATCTTAATATTTAAACCTTAAAAGTTAAAACGGCTAAGTAACTCAACTGTGGGAAAGTCAATTACAATAAAAGGAGATATACCAGGAATAAGGTAACCTGAATTATTTGCATTAACATTCAAGAGAGGTTCAGCCAACAATAATAGGTACAGGAATGTTAGCTGTGTAAATTACCTAGAATAACCCCAAAAAATGTCAGATACAGTGTAGAATTTAGGTTACCTGAGTCAAGAACATTGATGGTAAATCTGCAGTATCCTTCATTTATTCCGAGGGGATTAAAGTTGAGTAGAATCCTGGCGGTGTTGTTAGCCGCTTTTTCAATGCTGAGAAAAAAACAGCTATGATAATAAAATATATATGATTTGCGTTAACACACTGGCCGTCTCCCACAGAGGAAGGGTGATCCCCCTTCCCCGTTCACAAAAAGGAGGGAACATTCACCGTCATTCATTCAATCGCTGTTTTGCCAGTGTGCTGATATCATGGTCTGGATGACCCTTTCAACTGCAGCATCCTCACCCATCCTTCAGAGTACATTATTATTATAACCAAAAAGAAGCGCTAAGCCACAAGGGCTATACAGCTCCTCCAGAGTACAGGCACTGTACTTCCCACCTCAAGGACTGTAACATCCCCACCTATAGCACTAATGTCCCATATAAAAATCTTTGAGTGTTCTAAGAAGCATCACCAACCACCTAGATATCCATCAGTTACACAACCCAGGACAATATGGGTTTAGAGCAAGTCGCTCCTGCCTGTCCCAACAAATAGAACACAAAGAGTAATAATACACAGAGTAAAGTCTGAGTCAGCTACTGTGAAAAGCTCTGTTCCACAAGGCACAGCACTTGCATTAAGCCTGCCCGTAATGCTATGCATTCAAGTGGCTTTGGCATGCTGCATTTAACTGTATTCTTTTGTACTTCTCTGTATCATGTTCAAATAAATAAATAAACAAATAAATCCTATTTCTCATCCTCATATCTCACAGACAGATGTAAACTATAGTTCCGTATGTTCCTTTGTGGATGATGCCCGAATTGCCATGACAGTGTCCTCCATCGAAGACACCGCAAGACTCCAAGTGGACATCAACCAAATCTTCAAATGGGCCACTCAAAACAATATGAAGTTCAATGAAGAGAATTTTCAACTACTCATACATGGAAAACTTGAGGAAATTAAGACTATCAGGGCATACAACAAATTCTAGCCATACAATAGAGCGAAACAGTAATGTGAAGGACCTGGGAGTGATAATGCCAGAGGATCTCGCTTTCAAAGACCACAGCAATGTATCTACCATATCTGCTAGAAAAATGATAGAATGGATAATGAGAACCTTCAAAACAAAGGATGCCAAGCCAATGATGATTCTTCAAATCACTTATTCTCTCTAGTCTGGAATGCTGCTGTACACTAAATGCCCCCTTCAAAGCTGGCGAAATTCCTACTGAAATTGTCTATTGGTAATCCCCTTTATATATGCTGGGAGGCAGCTGAACAGTCTTGGGGGGTTGCATCTCCTGCCGCATCTACTGTTTTCGTAGAGCGATTTTCGTGTGCAGATCTGGAGCTAGTTCCCCTAGTATCTTCCAAATGTATATGATCATGTAATTTTTTCGCCTGCTTTCCAGGGAGTACAAATCAAGGGCAATTAGAACATTTCACCATGGAAGCATTCCGGTCCTGTGACCTAGTAAACTATACATGGAGTAAACTAGGTGTTTGCTTTTATGTCTTATAAACACAACTTGTCGACATTATACACCAGGTTTCCACCATATCTCACCCGAAGTTGTATGTTGAGTTGATGTTGGTATCAGACCACTCAAAGTCATTGATAAGGCTGTACGTCAGCGTCTCATTCAAGTCCCTATCCCAAGCCTGCAATGAACAGCAGCATCAGGGACAGAAACACTCACACTGACTGATAAAGGTGTTATTTAATGATTTTAATTGTAAACATAAAATGAAAACAAAAGAAGCAATGTGGAAAAAAATGTATAAAGTAACTACAACAGTCTCGTCTAGGCTTCATTCTAGCAAAGTTGTCTGTTACTTTATTATATTCCACCTCAGTAGCCAGTTCTCTTGCACTGGAAAGCTAAGTTAACCCAATGTATCCTCGCCCACTGTAGAACCAAGGTAGCTCTTTGTGTTTGACCTGACTGAAGGATCCTTTCGCAACTCCGCTAGTTATTGGTAAGGTCAGAAAAATGTGGTATAATTACCTGGAGAGAGTTCCGGGGGTCAACGCCCCCGCGGCCCAGTCTGTGACCAGTCCTCCTGGTGGATCAGAGCCTGATCAACTAGGCTGTTACTGCTGGCTGCACGCAATCCAACATACGAGCATCAGCCCGGCTGGTCAGGTGCCGACTTTAGGTGCTTATCCAGTGCCTGCTTTAAGACAGCCAGGGGTCTATTGGTAATCCCCCTTATGAATGCTGGGAGGCAGTTGAACAGTCTCGGGCCCCTGACACTTATTGTATTGTCTTTTAACGTGCTAGTGACACCCCTGCTTTTCACTGGGGGGATGTTGCATCGTCTGCCGAGTCTTTTGCTTTCGTTGCGAGTGATTTTCGTGTGCAAGTTCGGTACTAGTTCCTCTATGATTTTCCAAGTGTATATAATCATGTATCTCTCCCGCCTGCGTTCCAAGGAGTACAGGTTCAGGAACTTCAAGCACTCTCAGCGAGGTGTTTTATCTCCGTTATGCGCGCCGTGAAGGTTCTCTGTACATTTTCTAGGTCAGCAATTTCACCTGCCTTGAAAGGTGCTGTTAGCGTGCAGCAATATTCCAGCCTAGATAAAACAGTTGACCTGAAGAGTGTCATCATGGGCTTGGCATCCCTAGTTTTGAAGGTTCTCATTATCCATCCTGTCATTTTTCTAGCAGATGCGATTGATACAATGTTATGGCCCTTGAAAGTGAGATCCTCCGACATGATCACTCCCAGGTCTTTGACGTTGGTTTCTCGCTCTATTTTGTGGAAGGAATTTGTTTTGTACTCTGATGAAGTTTTAATTTCCTCATCTTTACCACATCGGGGTAATTGAAATTCTCATCATTGAACTTCATATTGTTTTCTGCAGCCCACTGAAAGATTTGGTTGATGTCCGCCTGGAGCCCTGCAGTGTCTGCAATGGAAGACACTGTCATGCAGATTCGGGTGTCATCTGCAAAGGAAGACACGGTGCTGTGGCCGACATCCTTGTCTATGTCAGATATGAGGATGAGAAACAAGATGGGAGCGAGTACTGTGCCTTGTGGAACAGAGCTTTTCACTGTAGCCGCCTCAGACTACTCTGTTGACCACTACTCTTCATGTTCTGTTTGTGAGGAAATTATAGATCCTTCAGCACGCATTTTCTGCGCTATATTACGCCATGGTCACACTTGTCGAAGGCTTTTGCAAAGACTGTATATATTACATGTGCATTCTTTTTGTCCTCTAGTGCATCTAGGACCTTGTCGTAGTGATCCAATAGTTGAGACAGACAGGAGCGACCTGCTCTAAACCCATGTTGCAATGTGTTGTGTAACTGATGGGTATCTAGATGGGTGGTGATCTTGCTTCTTAGGACCCTTTCAAAGATTTTTATGATATGGGATGTTAACGCTATCGGTCTGCAGTTCTTTGCTATTGCTTTACTGCCCCCTTTGTGGAGTGGGGCTAAGCCTGTTGTTTTTAGTAACTGTGGGACGACCCCCGTGTCCATGCTCTCTCTCCATAGGATGTTAAAACCTCGTGATAGGGGCTTCTTGCAGTTCTTGATGAACACAGAGTTCCATGAGTCTGGCCCTAGGGCAGAGTGCGTGGACGTGTCATTTATCGCCTGTTCGAAGTCATCTGGCGTCAGGATAATACCAGATATGCTCTGGACACTATTTTTTTTATTAACACATCGGCCGTTTCCCACCAAGATAGGGTGGCCCGAAAAAGAAAAACTTTCTTCATCATTCACTCCATCACTGTCTTGCCAGAGGGGTGCTTTACAGTTATAAAACTGGATCAAGATTTGTAGAAATTTGATTTCATATACCAATTATTTTTTTTCGTAGAAAGTTGAACATCAAAATGGTATACAATACCGACAGGTTGTTAGGTAAGACACATATGCAACAGTTAGACAACTTTATTCCGAAACGTTTCGCCTACACAGTAGGCTTCTTCAGTCGAATACAGAAAATAGGCAGGAACAGTAGAGACGTGAAGACGATGTAATCAGTCCATCACCCTTGTAGTCGTAGAATTTGAGGTTGTCAGTCCCTCGGCCTGGAGAAGTTCAGTTCCATAGTCAGGAACTATCTGAAGATCAAGCGACAGTGCGGAGACTTAAATACTGTCGGAAGGAGAGGTGCAGAGTAGTAGTAGTAGTAGTAGTAGTAGTGAGAATGTGACCACTGAGAGATCATGTCCCTCTCAGATCCAACCCTTCTCACTTGAAAAGCTTGTCCAAGGTGTTTTCTGTACCAAGATGCCATGTGTTGCAGTGTCTGACAAGATGAACATCAAAATGGTATACAATACCGACAGGTTGTTAGGTAAGACACATATGCAACAGTTAGACAACTTTATTCCGAAACGTTTCGCCTACACAGTATTTAAGTCTCCGCACTGTCGCTTGATCTTCAGATAGTTCCTGACTATGGAACTGAACTTCTCCAGGCCGAGGGACTGACAACCTCAAATTCTACGACTACAAGGGTGATGGACTGATTACATCGTCTTCACGTCTCTACTGTTCCTGCCTATTTTCTGTATTCGACTGAAGAAGCCTACTGTGTAGGCGAAACGTTTCGGAATAAAGTTGTCTAACTGTTGCATATGTGTCTTACCTAACAACCTGTCGGTATTGTATACCATTTTGATGTTCATCTTGTCAGACACTGCAACACATGGCATCTTGGTACAGAAAACACCTTGGACAAGCTTTTCAAGTGAGAAGGGTTGGATCTGAGAGGGACATGATCTCTCAGTGGTCACATTCTCACTACTACTACTACTACTACTACTACTACTACTACTCTGCACCTCTCCTTCCGACAGTATTTAAGTCTCCGCACTGTCGCTTGATCTTCAGATAGTTCCTGACTATGGAACTGAACTTCTCCAGGCCGAGGGACTGACAACCTCAAATTCTACGACTACAAGGGTGATGGACTGATTACATCGTCTTCACATCTCTACTGTTCCTGCCTATTTTCTGTATTCGACTGAAAAAGCCTACTGTGTAGGCGAAACGTTTCGGAATAAAGTTGTCTAACTGTTGCATATGTGTCTTATCGTAGAAAGTTAATGACATTGTATACCAGGAGTATACATGGAGAGAATTTCGGGGGTCAACGCCCCCGCGGCCCGGTCTGAGACCAAGCCTCGTGGTGGATCAGGGTCTGATCAACCAGGCTGTTACTGCTGTTACTCTAATGGTCTTATTCCTAAGACTCATTATTTAGTGAAACTCGAGTAAGCTTCTTGATCCAAGGACGCATTTTATGAGGGAAATTTTGATGTGAGGAAATAGAATTAAACTCTTGGGGAAAAGAAGACGTAACTCGGGAAAAACAAAATCTTGTTCCTGCTGAAGTCTTGATCCGAGGAATTGGAGCTCGCCATAGCGGGACTGAGGAAGTTCGCCATAGCGTGAAAAGCCCAAATTTTGTAAGGCGATAAAAAAATGGATCCAAAGATCTAGCCATAGCATGATTTAGGGGGGGAGGCTAGTCATAGCAAGATTTAGGGGGGAGGCTAGTCATAGCAAGATTTAGGGGGGAGGCTAGTCATAGCAAGATTTAGGGGGGAGGCTAGTCATAGCAAGATTTAGGGGGGAGGCTAGTCATAGCAAGATTTAGGGGGAGGCTAGTCATAGCAAGATTTAGGGGGGAGGCTAGTCATAGCAAGATTTAGGGGGGGAGGCTAGTCATAGCAAGATTTAGGGGGGAGGCTAGTCATAGCAAGATTTAGGGGGGAAGCTAGTCATAGCAAGATTTAGGGGGGAGGCTAGTCATAGCAAGATTTAGGGGGGTGGCTAGTCATAGCAAGATTTAGGGGGGTGGCTAGTCATAGCAAGATTTAGGGGGGAGGCTAGTCATAGCAAGATTTAGGGGGGAGGCTAGTCATAGCAAGATTTAGGGGGTAGGCTAGTCATAGCAAGATTTAGGGGGGAGGCTAGTCATAGCAAGATTTAGGGGGGAGGCTAGTCATAGCAAGATTTAGGGGGGAGGCTAGTCATAGCAAGATTTAGGGGGGTGGCTAGTCATAGCAAGATTTAGGGGGGAGGCTAGTCATAGCAAGATTTAGGGGGGAGGCTAGTCATAGCAAGATTTAGGGGGGGAGGCTAGTCATAGCAAGATTTAGGGGGAGGCTAGTCATAGCAAGATTTAGGGGGGGAGGCTAGTCATAGCAAGATTTAGGGGGGGAGGCTAGTCATAGCAAGATTTAGGGGGATGGCTAGTCATAGCAAGCTTTAGGGGGGGGCTAGTCATAGCATGATTTAGGGGGGAGGCTAGGCATAGAAAGATTTAGGGGAGAGGCTAGTCATAACAAGATTTACGGGGTGGCTAGTCATAGCAAGATTTAGGGGGGTGGCTACTCATAGCAAGATTTAGGGGGGGTGGCTAGTCATAGCAAGAATTAGGGGGGGTGGCTAGTCATAGCAAGATTTAGGGGGGAGGCTAGTCATAGCAAGATTTAGGGGGGGAGGCTAGTCACAGCAAGATTTAGGGGGGAGGCTAGTCATAGCAAGATTTAGGGGGGAGGCTAGTCATAGCAAGATTTAGGGGGAGGCTAGTCATAGCAAGATTTAGGGGGGAGGCTAGTCATAGCAAGATTTAGGGGGGAGGCTAGTCATAGCAAGATTTAGGGGGGAGGCTAGTCATAGCAAGATTTAGGGGGGAGGCTAGTCATAGCAAGATTTAGGGGGGTGGCTAGTCATAGCAAGATTTAGGGGGGTGGCTAGTCATAGCAAGATTTAGGGGGGAGGCTAGTCATAGCAAGATTTAGGGGGGAGGCTAGTCATAGCAAGATTTAGGGGGGAGGCTAGTCATAGCAAGATTTAGGGGGGGAGGCTAGTCATAGCAAGATTTAGGGGGATGGCTAGTCATAGCAAGATTTAGGGGGGTGGCTAGTCATAGCATGATTTAGGGGGGAGGCTAGGCATAGAAAGATTTAGGGGAGAGGCTAGTCATAACAAGATTTTAGGGGGGTGGCTAGTCATAGCAAGATTTAGGGGGGTGGCTAGTCATAGCAAGATTTAGGGGGGTGGCTAGTCATAGCAAGATTTAGGGGGGAGGCTAGTCATAGCAAGATTTAGGGGGGAGGCTAGTCACAGCAAGATTTAGGGGGGAGGCTAGCCATAGCAAGATTTAGGGGGGTGGCTAGTCATAAAAAGATTTAGGGGGAGGCTAGTCATAGCAAGATTTAGAGGGGAGGCTAGTCATAAAAAGATTTAGGGGGAGGCTAATCATAGCAAGATTTAGGGGGAGAGGCTAGTCATAAAAAGATTTAGGGGGGAGGCTAGTCATAGCAAGATTTAGGGGGGGAGGCTAGTCACAGCAAGATTTAGGGGGGAGGCTAGTCATAGCAAGATTTAGGGGGGTGGCTAGTTATAGCAAGATTTAGGGGGGTGGCTAGTCATAGCAAGATTTAGGGGGGTGGCTAGTCATAGCAAGATTTAGCGGGGGATGGCTAGTCATAAAAAGATTTAGAGGGGAGGCTAGTCATAGTAAGATTTAGGGGGAAGGCTAGTCATAGCAAGATTTAGGGGGGAAGCTAGTTACAGCAAGATTTAGGGGGGAGGCTAGTCATAGCAAGATTTAGGGGGGTGGCTAGTCATAGCAAGATTTAGGGGGGGTGGCTAGTCATAGCAAGATTTAGGGGGGAGGCTAGTCATAAAAAGATTTAGGGGGGAGGCTAGTCATAGCAAGATTTAGGGGGGGTGGCTAGTCATAGCAAGATTTAGGGGGGAGGCTAGTCATAAAAAGATTTAGGGGGGAGGCTAGTCACAGCAAGATTTAGGGGGAAGGCTAGTCACAGCAAGATTTAGAGGGGGAGGCTAGTCATAGCAAGCTTTAGGGGGAGGCCAGTCATAGCAAGATTTAGGCAGGGAGGCTAGTCATAGCAAGATTTAGGGGGGGATGCTAGTCATAGCAAGATTTAGAGGGGGTGTGGCTAGTCATAGCAAGATTTAGGGGGGGTGGCTAGTCATAGCAAGATTTAGGGGGGCTGGCTAGTCATAGCAAGATTTAGAGGGGGTGTGGCTAGTCACAGCAAGATTTAGGGGGGAGGCTAGTCATAGCAAGATTTAGGGGGGAGGCTAGCCATAGCAAGATTTAGGGGGGAGGCTAGTCGCAGCAAGATTTTGGGGGGAAGGCTAGTCATAGCAAGATTTAGGGGATAGGCTAGTCACAGCAAAATTTTGGGGGGAGGCTAGTCATAGCAAGATATAGGGGGGGGCTAATCACAGCAAGATTTAGGGGGGGTGGCTAGTCATAGCAAGGTTTAGAGGGGAAGGCTAGTCATAGCAAGATATAGGGGAGAGGCTAGTCATTGCAAGATTTAAGGGGGGGGGGTGGCTAGTCATAGCAAGGTTTAAGGGGGGTAGCTAGTTATACCAAAATTTAGGGGGGGAGGCTAATCATAGCAAGATTTAGGGGGGGTAGCTAGTTACAGCAAGATTTAGGGGGGGAGGCTAGTCGTAACAAGATGAGTCATAGCGAGTTAGTGTACACTTCTACTGAGCTCTTCCTTAATCCGTAATTTTACAAATACAAATTTCAAGCATTTTTCAGTATGATATATTGTTTATGCAGAAATGGGCGACACTTGAGTTCATGCGGAAAGCTCGTGGTTATACAGAGCATTTTAGGCAAGATTTTAAAAGCCTAATTTAGGACTACAAGGGAATATCATTGTCATTTATTAAATATCTATCACATATCACACGAAACTTTAAATTCTGGTAAACACATTAATTCCCCCAACTCCATAAACGTTGAAACATGATTTATTTATCCTTACCTCTACAGTAGCAATAGGCTTGCCTATGTTGTCATTTTCGGTAAAACTTGCAAATATCATACTGTCATTGAACACTGGTGCATTATCATTCATGTCCTGCACCAGTATTGTCACCTGTAACGAGAGAACCAGTTATATACAGGTAATTTATTTTTATTTATTATTAATTTGGACATGATACATAGATGTACAAAGAAATACAGTGATTAAGTGTAACATGCTAAAAGCCCCTTGTATGTAGAGCATTATGGGCAGGCTTAAAATTAACTTGAGATTAACTAAGCAATGATATATTCAGTGGTAAAAATGATAGTAAACAAATAACAATTAAGCAAAAATGAGTACGTATTTCAAAGACAGATCATATGGTCATTTGATGAGTTACTGTGCATTCAAGATAATGGAGTATTCTATTAGGTAATGTAATTAAAAAAAAAGTTTGATAGGGTCACAGGTTATAATTTATGAGAAACAGTTATGCAGTATTTATTTAATTGTGGGTGAGTAAGTTGTTTTTAACAAGACTTGAATTTATAAACAGTGTTTCTTTTATATTCACAGGTAATGAATTCCAGATTTTTGGGCCTTTTATGTGCATTGAATTTTTGCATAGTGTGAGATGGACACGAGGAATATCAAAGAGTGATCTGTGCCTTGTGTTACGGTCATGTGTTCTGTTGAGGCTGGTAAGGAGAAGTTTGAGTGGAGGGTTTATATCCGAGTTAAGTGTTCTATGTATGTAGTAGGTACAACAATAAGGATGGATGTTTTGTATAATGGGTAGGCTTAGAGTTTTGAATATTGGTGGAGTGTGCTGCCTGTAGTGGGAATTTATCATTCTGACTGCAGCCTTTTGTTGGGTAATTAATGGTCTGAGATGGTTTATTGTTTTTGAGCCCCATGCACAAATTCCATAGGTGAGGTAAGGGTAAATGAGTGAGTGATATAGGGCCAGGAGGGCTGACTGTGGAACATAGTACCGTATCTTCGATAGTAATTTAACCTCAATGTCAGAAATACACCATATGCAAAACAAACTTTTCCTCGTCTTCATATCTGACATAAACAGAGATGTGAGCCACATCACAGTGTCCTCCTTTGCTGATAATACCAGAATTTGCATGACAGTGTCATCCATCGAGGACACTGCCAATCTCCAAGTGAACATGGACAAAGTCTCTATTTAAATGGGCGTCAGAAAACAATATGAAGTTCACTGAAGACAAATTTCAATTACTCCACTATGGAAAACTCGAGGAAATAAAAACTGCATTGGAGTATAAAACAAATTTCAACCATACAGTAGAGTGAAAAACTAATGGTAGGATGGTTAATGAGAAAATTCAACACAACAAGGGATGCCAAGCCAATGATAATTATCTTCAAGTCGCTTGTTTTCTCTCTAGGCTTTAATATTGCTGTACACTAACGATCACTTTCAAGGCAGGCGAAATTGCAGACCTGGAGATATAGAGAACTTTCACTGCACATATAAGTACAATAGAGCACCTAAATTGCTGGGAACAGTTGAAGTTCCTTGACCTGAACTCGAGACCAGTCGAGAAAGATACATGATAATATACACTTGGAAAATCCTAGAGGGACCAGTCCCAAATCTCCACACGAAAATCACTCCCTACGAAAGCAAAAGACTTGGAAGGTGGTGCAACATTTCCCCCAATGAAAAGCAAGGGCGCCTATGAGACAATACAATAAGTGTCAGGGGCTCAAGACTGTTCATTTGCCACTCGGCATACATAAAGGAGATTACCAATTGACCCCTGATTGTCTACAAAAGGGAAGGGGACAGACACCTAAGTCAGTACCTGACCAGCCGGGCTGTGGTTCGTACGTAAGGTTGTGGGTAGACAGGGAGAGATAAGCAAGAAGGTTGTGGGTAGACAGATAGGTGAGGAGGTTGTGGGTAGATGGGGAGAAAGATAGGGAAGTAAGTTCATTCAGGTACAGGTACACTTGAGTACAATTATCTTACTTAGTAACATATGTATGAATTGCCAAGAATAACCACCAAAAAGGTCAGTTAAAATGACTTGTTTCCATTAGGGTATGATATGTCCAGTGACCTAACTAACAGTCGTAGCATAAGACGATGGACAATCTAAGATTAATTACATAGGCAGGAAACATGTATATTATTGCTGTAACAGAAACCTGGTTCATCCTGAAATAGAAATTATCTTCTGAATGCCACCTACAAGGTTCCTAAGACGAGAAAAATGCATCCAGTTTGTTCAATGGTTGGCCTTGCCTGGTAGGCAACGCTCTCGCCTCTCACACTGAGTGTTCGTGGTTCAATCCCCGGTATGGATGAAACACTGGGTGGGTTTCCTTACACCTGCTGTCCCCGTTCACCCTAGCAAGTAGGCACCCGGGTGTTAGTCGACTGGTGTGGCGCATCCTGGGGGACAAGATTGAAGGATCCAAATGGAAATAAGACATATACAGTTCTCTATGACGCACTGATTTTCTTAGGTTATCCTGGGTCGCTACCCCCCCCCCAATAAAAATCTGGACAAAATCGTATTTTATCCTAATAAGCAATTTGCGTTTGTTTCAAGAGAGTAGTGTCCATCACACAATGAATGTTGATGCCTTGTGACTACTAAAAAATATAAAAATTAATAGACCCCTGGTTGTGTTGAAGAAGGCACTGAACAGACACCTAAAGACAGCACCTGACCAACCGTATTGTGGTTCATACGTCAGTTTGCGTGCGGCCAGTAGTAACAGCCTGGTTGATCAGACCTTGATCCATTACTAGGCCTGGTCTCAGACAGAGCCGCGGGGGCGCTGACCACAGAAACCCTCTCCAGGTAAACTCACCTCCAGGGTGTTGTTTGTTGATTGTATCTTGTCTTCCTCCTTGTTATACGTCTGGATTTGAACTTGATATTCCGACTTAGATTCACGGTCGAGACCATTGGGTTTATTCTTTAAGCTGAGTTCTGTTACGGTGTTTTTAACAAGTTCAAAGTCGTCAACATTGCCTCCTGCAGTGAAGAATTTAAACAATAAGAGAATCGCAAATAATCAGACGACTTGACGGCCTGTCCTGGACACTTATCAAACTGCGACTTGATAATGGACCAGGGTAGACCGAAATGTATTTTGAAGTTTCCTCTATAATAATAAATGATAGTAATAATGATAATAATAATACTCATAATAATCTTTCTATAAGTACATGATTCAACTATACACTATATTCTATACACTATACACTCAGGCTCTCACAACTATCTCGTAAACTTCAATGACTCCAAGTAGCTCGTCAGAGACACGGCATAGCATTCATTAGAGATTTGCCGGTACTTCCGGCCCGGCGCGGCATAGCAAATCAAGCATTCTTTATGTCATTCTCTCGCCACCACACAGCACTATCATTCCACACTTCTTTTTTTTTGGGGGGGGGGGGAGGTGTAATGCAATTGAAAAGGTCCTAAAATTTAAAAGGGTGTACTATGAAGGCCTTTCCAAGCTCCTCTGCATAGAAGGTTCATAAGAGTTTACGATATTCCGTAAATTCTTTTGAATGTGACTGATAAAGCTACCCGGGGGGAGGGGGTCCTGAGACAGTATTTATTTCTTACTTATCTATGTTATTAATTACTACCGATCCAAGAAAAGGGAGGGTGACTGTCATTCATTGGATCAAGAGCTCGTTACCAGCATCTAAGTACTTCCTATAGCTGGGTTGGCAGCGCATTCAGCTCACACAGTGTGCGTGGTTCGATCCTCGGTACGGGTGAAAACACTGGACGTGGTTCCTTAAGACACCTGCTGTCCCTGTTCACTTAGCAGTAAATAGGTACCTAGGTGTTAGCAGACTGGTGTGGGTCGCATCCTGGGAACAAAATTAACCTAAATTGCCCGAAATACTCGGTATAAATAGGGGCTTTCTATATATTATGTTACTGATGTCAGCCATGGTCTGTATAAGTTGTATCATGTACTTTTAGAAATAAAGATTATTATTATTATTATTATTATTAAGGTGTCAAAGCCATGTCACTTTAATAATTGACACGACTCAAGCGAGTCAAGCTTACCTTTACTTAGACACGACTTAAGCTGTGACTATATTCAATACATACTAATGTGAATAATTTCTACAATCTTTTGTCACCTAACGACCAATTTCCAACACTCTCTCCACCTACCACCCCTCAGGGAGGTTCCTTGATGCTGCTGAGGGGCTCTTGATCTCGGGAATTGGATCTGTGCTCCAGTTCCCTGAATTGAACCTGAATGCCTTTCATCCCGTCCCCCCCACATGCACTGTATAATCCTATGGGTTTAGTGCTACCCCATGATTATAATAATAAACTTCACCTACCAACAACTTCCAACACTCTCTCCACCAACCAACAGCTTCCAACAATCTCTCCACCAACCAACAACTTCCAACAATCTCTCCACCTACCAACAACTTCAAACAATCTCTCCACCTACCAACAACTTCAAACAATCTCTCCACCTACCAACAACTTCAAACAATCTCTCCACCTACCAACAACTTCAAACAATCTCTCCACCTACCAACAACTTCAAACAATCTCTCCACCTACCAACAACTTCAAACAATCTCTCCACCTACCAACAACTTCAAACAATCTCTCCACCTACCAACAACTTCAAACAATCTCTCCACCTACCAACAACTTCAAACAATCTCTCCACCTACCAACAACTTCAAACAATCTCTCCACCTACCAACAACTTCAAACAATCTCTCCACCTACCAACAACTTCCAACAATCTCTCCACATACCAACAACTTCAAACAATCTCTTCACCTACCAATAATTTCATAGTGGACGGTGTCGTAATTTGGAGAGTTAGGGTCATCAACATTGGTATTATCTTCATCGGTAGCATTAAGGAATGTTGCATTAACATTAGGGTCATTTTCTGCCAATAAACAAAAAAAAATCAAAAGAAAAATCAATTATACAAGAAGTTTTGTAAACAAGAGTTATATATGTATACATATATTATATGTATCTCCATTGGGAAGTGGAAAAGAATTTTTCCCCCGTAAGCCATGCGTGTCATAAGAGACGACTAAAATGCCGGGACCAAGGGGCTAGTAACTCCTTCAGTATAAATTACTAAATTTAAAAAGAACAACTTTTGTTTTTCCTTTTTAGGTCACCCTGATGAGATTCATTCTGAACCTGGGTCCAAGAGAGCATGTAGGCCATAATGAATTACAAAAACTGGATATGCTGAATGTTGAAGACAGAGCAAAACATAATAGAAAACTACGAGGAAGAAAAAAGAATTCAGGCAGCCACTTGAAAGATATTCCTCCGGAGATACTTTATTATGATAATAAAAGGACAAAGTGACTATGTTAGTGACTAATAATTTACCTAGATAATCAAACAGCATAGTGGCTAACTTACCAGTCATATAGAGCGTCTGCATACACGGTCCTAGGATACAAAAATAAGGGGGACTCTCGAAGACATTTGTGACGACCACTTGAACAGTTGTGAAGCTTTCTAGTTGCGGTTGTCCATTGTCAATAGCATGCAGGGATAACTTTTAAATAAGAAAATAATAAATAAATAAGATATAAACAACTACTGAGAGAAAGATGGGCCAGAGAGTACAGTAATGAGAAGCCAGAGAAGTAGGGGGGTTCATTTAACAATGCAATACTAGAGTGTACAGCAGAAATTTTGGGTATAGGAGGGTGGGTTGTGTAATTGATGGGTATCTAGATGGGTTGCGATCTTGCTTTTTAGGACACTTTCAAAGATTTTTATGATATGGGATGTTAACGCTATCGGTCTGTAGTTCTTTGCTATTGCTTTACTGCCCCCCTTTGTGGAGTGAGCCTCTTCAAGGGGGGCTCCTTGGCGTGGTGAAGAGGCTCTTGGTCTGAGGAATTAGACCTGTCGGTCTACTTCCTCAGACCGAACCTAATTACCCCCCAATCCCCCGTTCCCTATCCCATCCTCCCCTTTTTCCTTTCCTCCTCCTCCTCCTCCTCCCCACCCCTCCCTTTTGGGCCTTTTTTTTTTTTTTTTTTTTTTTTCCCACAGGCACGCTAGTTCCTAGGTAGGGGAAAGGGTACCGGGGTCCATCCCATTCCGTTGAGGTTCTTGGCAGTGGCGTAGTCTGCCGTGGAATCTGGATTGCCTGGGGATGTCCTGATCCCTCTCCGGTATCCCGGAGGGTGGCTTTGGGTGTCTCTCAGGCGATGGGTGTATCTCTGGAAGCCACCTTTCAGATTCCGGGGGTGGTGGCCGAAGGAGGTATGCTTTGTGGTGGATTTCCAGCCGCCCTCTCTTTTGTCCACTGAGGTAGCTCGGCAGATGTGAGGTTGCTATCCCGGATTGCCGGTTTACATTTACTGGCATGATGGGTAGGTTCCATGCTGCATCTGTGCTACTTGCGGTGCTGAGGTCCTCTTGGGCGCGGAGGGAGATTTCTGGCCCTTTCATTTCTCCTAGGAACTATCCCTCCCCGGTCCCCCCTTTTTTTATTCTTTTTTTTATTTTTATTTTCTTTTCTTCTTTCTTTTTTTTTCTTAAAAACAAAAAGAAAGAAGTAACCTAACCATGGCAGCCCTAGTCCATGAACCTGCTACCCCCGGGCCCCTTCTTGATACCGCACCCCGTTCTGACCCCGCCTTGTCTTTGGACCACTCTTCGGACACTCCTCATGCCTCTGTACCTCTTGCCGGTGCTGTTTCCTCACTCGCTTCAGGTACTGAGGCCTCGACTGACTCCTTCGATTTATCTGACCTTCGCTCTCCTCTGACTATGCTTCCAGCCTCTCCCTCTACGGTGCAGCAATTTTCGAATTGCCGGCCCGTTCCACATTGGACCAGCTCTGGTCCCATGCCTAAACGCCAACGACAATTACCTGCTGATGATACTTCTCCACCTTCTCATTCTTCTCAGAAAAGATCGACACGTCCTTCACTACCTTTCCACGCTCAGTTTCAGACTGCACAATGGACCAAATTCTTCACTTTACGACCGACTTCCTCTACTGCCTATCTTTCTGACCACAGTATTGGAAGGCACTCCTACGCCATGTTGGTAAAGATATTTCTTTTCATGCTCTTAAGAGCGGTACGCGCATCATCACCGTACAGAATGCTACCCAGGCTCATGAGCTTTCTCGTCTTTCCCATATCGATACTGTTCCTGTCACTATTGAAAAGCATCATTCCCTCAATTCTTGTAGTGATACCGTCATTCTGCCCCATACCATAGTTCAACAAAATTTCCAGACATGTGGCACTGACATTCTTGAACAGCTGGAACTCCAAGATCTCCCAATCCTCAAGGTAGACACTTCCGTTCTTCCTGCCTACGGGTGGAGACAATACCCTAGCAATGTGGCTCGTTTAACTTTTGACAGCCATGAACTCCCATCCTCAGTTTATGTAGCAGGACATCGGTTGCAAGTTCGAAAGGTGATCCCTACACCACAATAGTGTAGAAATTGCTGGCGATTTGGCCATCCAGCAAAATATTGCAGATCTATCGCTGAATGCCCAGTCTGTTGTGCCGATGACCATTCTAACACATCTTGCAATCGACCTCCCTCTTGCCTTAATTGTCATGAGGCTCACCCTTCATACTCTCGCCGTTGTCAAGTCTACTTAAACGAGCAGGAAATCCGTTACCTCAAAGAGGCAGAAGGTCTCCCTTATGCCATGGCAGTTTCTCATCTCCGCCTCCAAGGGAGACTACCTCGTGTTTCTTATTCCCATGTTTCAAAACGTCCCCCCACTTCTGGTATCCCATCTTCTGCACCCACCTCTGTGGTTACCTCTCCCATAGTCACTCCTGTAGCTAATTCTTTTGCTGTCCTCGGTTCAGACGTCCCTACTTCAACGTCTCAGTCTGATCTCGCTTCTTCGTGTTCTCTCTCACAAGCCTCAGTAGTGACGAGATCTCGTATGACACCTCCTCCCAATCGTCCCTCTACTTCTCAAAAGTAAAAAAAAGGTCCGTTAACACCTCCTACCCATCTTCCATCTCCTCATTTTCCCTTCCCTGTCTCTGTACCTGGTTCTCCCCCTCTCACTGGCTCTGTTACAAGTGTAGAGGTTCACCCTCCTCCTCGTACTGTACCTTCCTCCCCTGTTCCCTCCCAAGTTTCTTCCTCTTCTGCCACCTCCCAGGTTTCTGCCTCTTTTGTCCCCTTCCATGCTTCTCCAGTTCCCTCCACCCTTTCGCCCCCCCTACCTTGGTACAGTCCATTACAGTTCCAATCTTTACTCATCCTCCCCCTACCATTTCCAATATTGTCTCCCATACGACATCTCTGAATTCTGAAACACTTGAAGCAATCTCTGAATATATTGCAGAGACCAAACCATCAATGGACACTGATCCCCCTCCCGCTCCTTCTCTCTCCTCTACTCCATCTTTCGCAACTCCTTTCTTCACAGCGCACGTTCCTTCGCTGCTTGAACGTTTTTCACTGCCTCCGCATGTGGACTTTTCTAACCCCTCTAGTCCATAGGAACCTTACCTGTGGGATTTCAGGTATCATTTATTCATTGCAAACTGCTATTTACAGTGGAATATACCGCGCCTCAAGGGTAATTGGGGTGAGCTTCAGATGTTACTCTCCCAGTTTTTCCCTGTTGGTGTTTGCTTACAGGAACCAAAATTACACTCTGCTGTTATTTCTCCCATCTCAGGCTATAATTTATTGTATTCTTCAGATCCTTTTCCTGATGGGACCTTTAATGAAAGTGCCCTTCTTCTACGCACTGATATTCCGTACCATCTGCCCGAAATGCCTAGCCATGCTAAGCGTTCTAGTGGTACACTCTGTAATCACAATTTTACTACATGTAAACCACATAATAACCAAATTTCTGTAAACTCAGCATTGTAATCCTTATAGAGAATAAACTTTGAATTTGAAACTTTGAATCAGCTATTTGTTCGTACTTTGCTGCATTACACAGCAGCCCGTATCCACTTGCATACGTGGTATATGCTCTGTTCTTTATATCTCTCTCCTTCTCGGGCATTATCTATTCCGGATATTGCCTTTCTTGTTTCGTCATTACCACCACCGATTCTGTTACTTGGTGATTTTAATGCCACCATTTCCTTGGGGGGGGGACTCACTGTGATATCCCGTGGCATTAGTTAGAGGATTTTCTTGCCATCACCCCCTCCATGTTTTAAATACAGTTATACACTCTCTCTTGCATCGATTCCTAGACTGCCTCCTTCCCTTGCCGCATTAGAATTCACTTGGTCTGTTCTTCCGACTTACATGACAGGCGATCATTTCCCCAATCCATTCTTACTTCCCCTTCATATTCACCACTCTTCCATCACATGCTGGCATTTGATCAGGCAAAATTGGAACATTTACTCTCACCTAAACTGTTTTTAGAGAGATTCCTTCTTCGTCTCCATCGATGAGCTTTACACCTCTTCTAGTCATCCGTTTTGAACCGCAGCTTTCATTCTATATCCCAACTTCGGGCAGGCATCTCGAAATGCATGCCTTGGTGGTCTCCTGCTTGTGCTCGTGCAGTACGTTTGAAACGCGCTGCATGGGGCAGGTACCAGGTTACAATAGAAACACGAGAGACTTCTTGATTTTAAGCAGAAGAGTGCCGATCGCTCGCCATGTTCATCTGTGACCGCTAAACGCACTTGCTGGGCGAGATTAATGTCTCCACCATTCTCCTCTGCTTCCTATATGAGTGCAGTCTGGGAAAAAAGTACGAAAAAACTGAGTGGTAAATATTCTCCTGACCAGCTCCTGTTCTGCGGGTTGCCAGTGTTGATTATAGCAAACCCACTAGATGTTGCCAATGAAATTGGGCAATCATTGGGTCCGTATTTCTCAGGGATCATCTATGCCCCTCATTTCTTTCACTCAAAGGCTGCAGAGAGTTAGCCACCCTTGGACTTTTTCTTTCAGAGAAGAACGTATAATGTGTCCTTTTACATCTTCAAGAACTGGAGGCAACACACTAGCTTGCGGATCATCAGCAGCTGGGCCCGATGACATTCAATATTCGTATGCTACAAACATTTACATCAAGTCAGCCCTTGCAGTTCTATTACGCCTTTACAATCTTATTGGTCACAAGGAGTTCTTCCACAGCTGTGGAAATCTGCCATTGTTCTCCTTTTCCGCAAACCAGGCACTACGGGACATGAACCTCCCACGAACGTCCATTGCTCTTACCAGTGCAGTTTGCCAAAAGTGATGGAACGCCTAGTAAATAGACGGTTTAGTGTGGTATTTAGAGACACGCAACAGTCTCTCACTCCGTACCTATGGCCTTTGTAAGGGGACGTTCTACCATAGACCCTTACTACGGCTTGGATACGTATGTTCGTAATGCCTTTGCGAATAACCACTCAGTTATTGCCATATTTTTTGACCTTGAGAAGGCATATGACACAACTTGGAGGTATAATATTTTAGCCCAAGCCCACTCCTTAGGCCTTCGAGGCAATCTACCATCCTTCTGTTGTGATAGAAACACAGGCCTTATCTCTAGGCTTTATTGAACATAGAATCTTCTAGTACTT